CATCACCATTACCACCACCATCATCATCACCCTCACCATCACTATCATCACCACCATCACCTTCACTATCATCACCATCATCATCATCATCATTACCACCACCATCATTACTACCACTGTCACAACCATCACCATGACCACCATCACCACCGCCATCACCATCACCACCATCACCATCACCATCACACCATCACCACAACCATCACAGCGGACCCATCGTTCTTCCTTTTTTTCTTTTCCAGTTGAAGCTGCAGTATTTCAGATCCAACTGGAATCACAGGGATTTCTTGTTTGACTCCTCCCTGAAATCCTGGAAGAATCTGGAGTCGGCAGAAGGTGAGGCTCTTTCTTAGTTTCATACTGCTGTAGGGACAGGGCTCTCCAGGATCTCAGATCCTGACTCCAGTTTGATTGCTTTTTCCACTGTACTCTTGTAAAGATGCCCAATGATCCATCAGAAAGTCAAAGAAACATTAACCATAAAATATCAAATTATCCTCCTGCTCCAGAGAACAGGCCACACCTCACTGAACAGGAGATATTGATGAGCCACGTAAGGCCAAAAGCAGATCTCACCTCTTCAGTTATTTAATTCCTCTTTGAGGGACATAAATTTGGGGACTACCCCCTCCTCCACCAATAACACTACAAACTTAAATCATTTTTCTTCGCTTTCGAATTCCTCTCCAATTCACTGCCCAGCAGCAGCTTAGAGCTCTTAGATCTTATTATGCCTTATAAGAACTCATTTTTGCGAATCTTCCTAAATTCACCCACATGCCTTTTTGCAGGGAGGGAGGATGATAGGAACCTCCTTAACTCAATTTTCTTGTCTTTTCTTAAAGTGTACGTGTTGCAAAAATCACAGAATCATGTGAGGAATGAAAGGAAGGCCCCCTTTTTCCACCCTGACTCCAACAGTCCCGCTGCTCAAAGGACCCCAGGTAAAACACCTATTTAAAACACCTATGTATATAGAAATATGTCAACATAAATCATAATTAGTCATTTATACCTGAGAAGTCTTGATGTATACGATAACAACCAAAATGATCTCAAAGTATGTAAAATGGCAAGTAAAAGTCCTTTTCTCCTCTAATCCCCAACTGCCTGGGGCAACTGCCACCAACAAGTTATATTCTTCCAGAAAAATCATAATGTACCTTCAAACACATTCTTAAAGTTTTAAAATTGTTCAATAGGTAGTAAATTCACATCGTTCAAAAATAGAAAACTTACGAACATGTGTAGAGTGAAGAGGCTCTCTCCCATCCCACCTCCACCCACCCTCAGGGAACCATTTTTAGTTTCTTGCGCATCCTTCCAGATTTTCTTTCTGAAAATATAAGCGAGGGGAGACGCACATTCTGATTTTACTCCTTTTACACAAAGGTACTCTTCCCCTTTGCGTTGATTTCCCACAACAGTGTACCTCGGACGCCTTTCCTCATGCTTTGTGAACATCCTCCTTCCCATTTCACAGTAGCATGGTAACCCCCTGTATGGATTTACCATCACACATTTAACCGCCCTCCCGTTCATGGTCACTTGGACTGTGTCTAAAATTTTGATTTTTTGTTTGTTTGTTTGTTTTTTGAGACAGAGTCTCACTTTGTGCCCTAGGCTGGAGTGCAATGGCATGATCTCAGCTCACTGCAACCTCTGGGTTCAAGTGATTCTTCTGCCTTAGCCTCCCAGAGTGCTGGGATTACACGCACCTGCCACCAAGCCTGGCTAATTTTTGTGTTTTTTGTAGAGATGGGATTTCATCATGTTGGTCAGTCTGGTCTCGAACTCCTGACCTCAGGTAATCTACCTGCCTCGGTCTTCCAAAGTGCTGGGATTACAGGCGTGAGCCACCTTGCCTGGCCCTAAAATTTTGATATTTCAAAAAATATTTTTAAAACTATGAAAAAAAGCTCCATATCACTGATCACTAGAGAAATGCAAATCAAAACCACAGTGAGAAACCATCTCACACCAGTCAGAATGGCTATTGATTAAAACATCAGAAAACAACAGATGCTGGCAAGGTTGTGAAGAAAAAGGAATGCTTATAAATCGCTGGTGGGAGTGTAAATTAGTTCAACCCATTGTGCAAAGCAGTGTGGTGATTCCTCAAAGAGCTAAAAACAGAACTACCATTCAACCCAGCAATTCCATTACTGGGCATATACCTAGAGGAATGTAAATCATTCTACCATAAAGACACATGCACATGTGTGTTCATTGCAGCACTAGTCACAATAACAAAGACATGGAATCATCTAAATGCCCATCCGTGGTAGATTGGATAAAGAAATTGTGCTACATATACACGTGGAATACTATGCAGCCATTAAAAAGAACAAGATCATGTCTCTTGTGGGAACATGCGTCGAGCTACAGGCCATTATCCTCAGCAAACTAATGCAGGAACAGAAAACCAAATACCACACGTTCTCATGTATAAGTGGGAGCTAAATGATGAGAACTCATGAACACAAAGAAGGGAACAACAGACAACACTGGGGCCCACTTGAGAGTGGAGAGTGAGTGGAGGGAGAGGAGCAGGAAAGATAACTATTGGGCACTGGGCTTAGTACCTGGGTGATGAAATCACCTGTACCAACAAACCCCATGACATGAGTTCCCCGATGTAACAAATCTTCACACGTACCCCCAGAACCTAAAATAAAAGTTAAAACATTATTTAAAATGCTCGGATGAATAACTTTACATACATAATATTTCAAATGTTTGTTAGTATGTCTGTAGAATAAAATTCCAGAAGTGGGATTGCTTCCTTGAAGGGTGAGCGAGCTGTGGTTTTGAGAGGCAACCCACTGCCCTCCCCAAGGACATAGTCGTGTATCCTGTCCCCAGCTCCTTAACTCAGAAAGCCAGTGTCACAGTTGTGGGGTTTTCCCAATATCATGGATAAAAAGTGCTTTCTCAGTGTAGCTTTACTTTGCATTTCTATTCTTATGAGTGAGGCTGAGCACTTTTTAATATATTTGAGATGCATTTGTATTTCTATTTTTCTGTTATTTCTTCATATCCCTTACCTATTTCAATTGTAGGTTATTTCCTTACCAATATCTACAAACACTTTATAAACTAGGGAGACTGGATTTTTTTTTTTTTTTTTTGACAGAGTCTCACTGTGTCACCCAGGCTGGAATGCAGTGGTGCATTCAGGACTCACTGCAGACTCAACTTCCCAGGCTCAAGCGATCCTCCCACTACTGTGGGAGAGGGAGTAGGTGGTGCATATCTGTAGTCCCAGCTACTTGGGAAGCAATCCTCAGCCCCTCAAGTAGCTGGGACTACAGGTACACACGACCACACCCAGCTAATTTTTGTATTTTTAGAAGAGACGGGGTTTCGCCATGTTGCTTAGGTTGGTCTCCAACTCCTGAACTCAAGCAATCGTCCCACCTTGGCCTCCCAAAGTGCTGGGATTACAGGCGTGAGCCACCGTGCCCAGCCCGCTTTGTCTTTTAACAACTCATGTTATTATTGATACTTTTCTGCTTGCAGAATTTTTTTTGTAATTGAATTTATCATTTTCTTTTTTGATTTTTGGGTTTTAGTCATCATTAGAACAGCCCTCTCTACTCCATGGTGATAAAGGAATTGTTTCACGGTTGGATTTTTAAATCCAGAATGCTTGTTGGATTTGTCACTTTCCTCTCCAACACCTGTAGAGCTGACACTATGACTTTTCTTCTTAAATTTATGAATATGATGAATTATATTAATGGATTTCCTAAGGCTGAACCACCCTTTCATTGGATGAAAGGGAAGCCGAGGCGGGGTGGCCGAGGCCGGGTGATCCACCCGCCTCAGCCTCCCAAAGTGCTGGGATTATAGGCATGAACCACCATGCCCAGCCTATTTGTCAGTCTTTTATGTGGAGGTTTTCATTAATCTTTACATGTGAGATTGGGCTGTAGTTTCCTTTCTTTTCAGGAAAAATCTCTACTCACTTCTACAATGAAAGGATGGTTCAGTATTAGGAAATCCATTAATATAATTCATCATATTCATAGGTTTAAGTAGAGTTATACAGCCACACACAGAGCTGGACAGATTGTATTATTTCTTTAATGTACTGCTAGGTTCTGTGTATTAATTTTTTTTTTTTTTTGCAGTTTCCGGGAGATCAGGTTTTAACCAGTCTCACCTGTGGGCTTCATTTCCTCAAATGGGTCCAGACTGTCATGTGATCTTGGGCAGGGGTTTGTTCTCATTCTCACATATGTCTCCATCACCATATGCCCGTTTGGACTTTGACCGTCTGCAGGAATCAGAGTGTCTGAAAACTAGTAGACTTACACAGCCACCCGCAGAGCTGGCCTGCAGGTCCTGCTCAAAGCAGGTGAGCTGAGGCTGGACTTACCCTGAGCTCCAGTGATGGGGGTTCATTCTTTGCTATTTGGCTTCTGCTTATTTCCTTTCATTTTACCAGGAAGAGGTCCCCAAGCCTTCTTTTCTGGTGCCTTCTGACACCACATACTGCAAGTACTCCAGCACTTCCCTGGCTTCAGGAACTCAAAGGGTCTACCGGGAGCAAGACAGAATTAGTGTTGAGGACTTAGCACCCATAGGGTAGCCTCCACTCAGTGACTGTTGGGACCTGGTGGATCAATACCCCAGCTCCCTGGCCCAAGTTGCTCACAACAGTAACTTGCTTGATGCCACACCCTTTGCTGACTTTCTTCCATTCCCTGTCTCACTTCCCCTACCAGTGCCTCCTGGGTTCGCCTCCCAAATAGATGACTTACATTCAAATCTTTATTTTATGTTGGCTTTGGAGGGGACCCAACTTAAGGCGGGGTTCCCAACCCTCTTTTGTGAGGTGCAGGACAGCTGGTTAGGGGCAGTCCTGCAATGACAAGCCTGCCCCCTGCTGATCACTGGCATCACCCCCGGTCATGCTTAGAACAATTGCACAGGTGGTTGACCGGTGGGGCAGTGAGGCTCAGAGAAGTTAAATGGCTTCTCCAAGCACAACAGCAAATGCACTTAGTTCTGAAAATTGTTTCCCAGCAATTTCCTTCCACCTAACAGATACACATCTGAAGGTTGTGAAAGAATTCATCATCATGTCAGCTCCACAAACATGTATTAAAGGTGTACAAGGTTCCAGGCCCCATGCTGGGCCCTGGAGACCCAAGGTGAACCAGCAAGGAGGTGCGTCCAGTGGGGAGACAGATATGAAAACCACTGCATCAGGGCAGTATCAGCCAACTCAACACACCACAGGACAAAGGCCAAAAACGTAACTAGGAAGTACAGAGAAGAAAGAGCTGAGAGAAAGCACAGGTTTGAGAGGGTGTGGGGAGGTGAGGATGGGTGTTCCGAGAGCAAGAACAGCATGTGCAAAGGCCCTGAGGCCAGACCAGGAGAGATGGGGGAAGAGTGTCTGATTACTAGGAGAATGTCTTGGATGGATGAAAATGTAAGGTGGGCTCAGATGAGACAGGGCTACAGAGAGGAGAACCAGGGAAGAGGTTTTTCTGGCCTGAACTGGGCACAGACTGTGGAGATGGTGAGGAAAATGTGAATTCAACACATTTTAAAGAGATGGGGAACAGGCGCAGTGGCTCACGCCTGTAATCCCAGCACTTTGGGAGGCCGAGGCGGGCAGATCACTTAAGACCAGGAGTTCAAGACCAGCCTGGTCAACATGGTGAAACCCCATCTCTACTAAAAATACAAAAATTAGCTGGGCGTGGTAGCACTTGTCCCAGCTACTCGGGAGACTGTGACAGGCGAATCACTTGCACCTGGGAAGCGGAGGTTGCAGTGAGCCCTGATCGTGCCACTGCACTCCAGCCCAGAGGTGGATGGGCAGGGACTGCCTAGAGTGCTCCGTGGTCCTAGCAAAGTCTTGCTGGCTCTTGTAGTGATCTCAGTGGCATGCACAGAGTTCCAGAACTTCAGAGCATCTCTTTTTGGTAAGGGGGCAGCATCCTGACCTCTACCCACCGAAGCATGCGCCTGTCCTGGTCACATGCTGGATTAACCTGTAAGCCTATTAACCATGGCTCAACATCCTCCGCCACCTTGAAAGGAGCCCCAGAGCTCCCTGGTTAGGGAGAGAGTTCCCAGCCTGGTCCCGAGGATGGCCACGTCTCACCTGGCCCTGAGCCACTGTCACAGGCAGCGGGGCATGACTCTCCAGTTGTCTGGAGCCTTTACCTTGACCCTGAGTGACCTGAGGGAGCCAAGCCCGACGGCAGCAGTGACCGCTGCTGAGTCATCTGGCCCCCAAGACACCCAAGGGTCCCTGGGCACCCACGCTGTGTTAGCTTCATGCAGAGGTCTCAGTGCTCACGAGGACCTTACTGCAAGCTCTGAAGCCCCAGGGCCGTGTGGACGGCTATAGAACCTCATCTGACCAGGCTTCCCCCAAGAACAGAGCCAACCCCCAAAATTCTGGAGAGAAGTCTTCCCTGACCAAGTCCAGAGCTGCTGGGTTGTGTCCTGTCCAGGCAAAGCCAGCTCCCAGCACTTTCCCTCTGGAGCAGCATGAAGGGCAGAGGGGGAACTGCAGGCCAGGCTGACCTGGAAACCAGCCTCCATCCTGCCCCTGGGCCTGGGGTTGGGACAGGGCCTCTTTCAGAGGCCTCGGGGGCAACTGTTCCTGGTGGGTTCCCACAGGTGCCCTCAGCACCCACAGGACATCAGGGCGTGGCAGGAAGCTGGGGCTTCCCTCTTCCCTTGCTGCTGCATCAGTGTCAGTTGGGAGTACTTTAGAAATGTAGAATCTCAGATCCCAACCCAGACCTCCAGAACCAGAATCTGCATTTACTAAGAGCCCCAAGTGATCCGTGTGCCCACTGAAGTTTAATACGCCCTGGCCTTGACCAATCTCCACAGCCACGACTGTTCCACACCTTCTGTCTCCTCAGAAGGGGTTTCCAGGAAGGGCTTTATGCTTATTTCCACATCTGCCTCTCCGTCAAAATATAAGCTCCTTATGGATGGGAATGTGTATCCCTAAAGCCTTCGGTGCCTGAGCCCTGCCTGCACACTGGAGGTGCCTACTCAGTGCTTGCTGAATAAGCGAGGGGATGTGTGTCACCATGCAGACTGGCAGCGCGCCAGGGCCAAGTCCCTTTCTATCCTCTGCATCATCAGGCAATGGAACAAGGAACAGAGTGGCATGTGAGAGCAAAGAGATGTGCCACCCCTGCCACAGCGCGCTAGGATTTGTTCTCTTCACAGACAACTGGAGAGGCAGAAGCCTGGGGGCCTACATTCCCCCCACCCCCCTTCCCACTCTCCCCGACACATGTGCCTTTGCCCTGGCGGCAGGTAGGTTTCAGACCCTTCTCTTCGTTGGTCTCAACCCAGCTACAAACTGAGCTCACTCAGCCACTTCTTTGCCAACTAAGATTCCTGCCCTTAAGGAACCTACTGGGTGACATCGCCCAAGAGATGCAGGAACCCAAAGCTCTGGGTCACACAGGTCTCCTGACCACTTGCTCTCTGTTTTCCAGGGACATGGAGGGGCTCGGGATTCAGGATGGCTGATGGGGCACTCATTTATCTGCCCCAGCCAAATCCAAGTGGATCAAAGAAGGAAATAGTCTGGCAGTCCCAGAGCAGCATGGGAAAGCTGAGAAATGGAAAACTAGGGAGAGAATCTGCATAAGACATAAAGGTCATGGGACAGACAGACAATGAAACCCACAGACCAAGGGACCCACACCCCATGCAGGAGGGAAAGGAGGCCCAAACCCCTGAACCTTCCTAGGAGGACAGCACTAGGTGAGAGGCTGCAGGGTGGGCACAGGCCAAGGACATCTGAGTAATTAACAGTGTCAGGGTGAGCAGATTGACTGTGTCCCACCCTTCCTCCACCAAACACCACTTGGCATTGAATTCCATGTTTGCTTGGAGGTCAAGGCGCAAGAACAGCTAAATGGAGTTCTGAAACTGCGTACTAGGCCAGAGAAAAAGGGCAGCACCCCAGGTAACTTAAGCGTCCCATAGGGAAGCAGAACCCTTTACTCAGAAAATCAGATCCACCAGCTCCTCTTGGCCACAGGCCTCTTTCACTTGCCCACATGTCACAATTACTGTAGATAGGGCTCTCCAGCACAAAGATTTCTTGCATGGCTAAGCCAACAGGAATTCCCACTTAGCCTGAGGAAGAACATTCTAGGAAACAACAATTTTGTCCAGATCCCTCCCCGCACCATCTTCAAATATGAAGAGACAACCAAGAAACACTAAAAATGCAATAATCCAATGCACCAAAAGAGAGACACCAAACTCGACAAACAAAAGAACCAACACAGGAGGCCGATGAAGTAATGCTGTAAACAGAAGAAAAAGGTAAAACAGCTGTACTTTCTATTTCCAGGGAAATTTGAGAGGACATCTATTTTTTAAAAGAAACAGGTTCCTGAGAAAAGGAAACCTTTTCGGTTTTGAAAATTGCCAACTTGATGGACAAATTCTGAAACCACTAATTAGCAGATTGAATAATGAGGGGAATACAGTGACCTGGAAGTTCTTGACAAAGGAGTTTCCTGGAACCCAGTGCAAAAGCACAGAGAGATGAAAAGGAAGAAAAGAAAGGACCTCTGAGCTGAAGAAGATGGAAATGTTTAGACTACAATGTCCCAGTAGCTTTGGGTAGCAAGGATGAAAAATTGGCACGTGCCTGGTGAAATGTCTAAACTCTAAGAATGGAGGTAGGTTTGTACATTAAATGTCCACTATAACTCTTCAATTTATAGGTTACCTTGGCCTTCATTCATCTTTTTCCTTCCCTTCCCTTCTTTTCCCTTTCCTTTCCTTTCTTTTCCTTCCCTTCCTTTCCTGTCTCTTTCTCTCTTTCTTTCTCTCTTTCTTCTTTTCTTTCTTTCTTTCTTTCTTTCTTCTTTCTTTTCTTTCTTTCTTTCTTCTTCTTTCCTTCCCTTCCTTCCTTCCTCTTTCCTTCCTTCCTTTTCCTCTTTCCTCTTCCCTCCCACTCCTTTCTTTCTTTCCCCTTCTTTTCTTTCTTTCTTCCTTCTTCTTCCTTCCTCCTTCCTTCCTTTCCTTCCTCCTCTCCCCTCCCTCCCTTTCTTTCTTTCCTTTCCTTCTTCTTTCGTTTCTTTCTTTCTTATTTATATTTCTTTCGCTTTTTTTCTTTACCTTATTCTATGTGCCTCGATTTCCTCTTTCTCTTTCATTTCATTCCCTTCCTTCACTTCCTTCCTTCACGCTCCATATCCTTACCTATCCTTCACTTCCTCCTCTTCCACCTCATGTCCTTCCTCCCCCTCCCGTTTCTTTCTTTTCCTTTTCTTTCCTTTAAACTTTCTTGGCCATTGCTTTGCTTTACTTGATTTCATTTACTTCCTTGTAGCTTTCTTGCGCTTTCCTTTCTTTCCTTTCCCTTCCTATCCTTCCTTCCTTCCCATATCCCTTCCTCCTTCGTCCTTCCTTCCTTCCTTCTTTCCATTTCTTTCTCCCCATCCCCATATCCATCATCTCATCTCTTCTTTCCAATATCTCAGAAAGACAGCAGGTCACATATAACTTCTGAT